AACTGAATTACGTCTATATTCAACGAGAGTTTCTCTCTGACAAAACAGTGAGGCATAGGCTCTGTGGATCGGTGGTCTTGCGCCATACTTACCTTCGTAAAAACATTGTTCTCACTTATTTTCACTAATTCCCGAACAGTATGAGCCGAGTATTGAATCGGTGCTCCTAAACCGTGCTAAAAGGCGGTCAGATTTGGTACTGCTTGTATTACGTGCCATCTATCCCAAGCGTTGAAATGCCAGTAGCAGAAGCTTTGCAAACATTCGCAATAGCGAAGTGGAAAACTAAGTTCGAGTTGGCTCCCTACTCGTTTACAACAAAACGTGATTTGTCATTTTTTCAGAGAATTTATTTGGGCCAACAAGTGGAATAAATTTTAGGAATACAGAGGATCTTCTTGTAGGCTGAGAATAGAATCACAAACGAATATGGATTCAAATAGATGGGGCCAAAACGAAAACAACGGGTTCCTAATACCTAGATTTAAGATGTTCTTTGTGACTAAACCAAAAAGAGATTAAGGCTTGTAAATTAAAACGTGTCAATACCCTCACCTTTTCAATGAATATTCCTTCGTCCCTTTCATCCGCTGGATTTGCAGCAGGCTTACCAACGCCCCCATGTATTGATATGCCAAGTGACTGTCCATCCTTTCTTGTCACCTCGATCACTTTCATCCCCGGGGGTTGAGGCTCATGAGTGACTAACAAAACGACGCGTGGACCGCTTTGCTTTAGAGTCTGGATATGATGTAAACATGTGACGTGAAATCGACTTTGCAATCACGCAATCCAATAAAACCTACTTCAACAGCTTCAATGTGATGAGCCTTACGGATGTCCCTCTCATTCACTTCTAGGATTCTATCACCGATGCGAAGACGTTGGCACCTGAATAGAAACGCATATAGACGAAATTATGTGCTAGTGGACAGATCAATGCGGAACCTTGCCGCAGGAGAGTTCGCAGCAATTTTGCTTATGAAAACGCCTGGTCTATCCACGCCAAAAGGATGACTTGAATGGTCACAGCCACCAACGATTGAAAGACCCAGAGACTTGCCATCTTTCATAAGCACCACCTAAAGTTTGAAACAATGAAAAAGAAGCAAAGTTATAGAAAAGTTGAACCAGATGCATAGCTATAGTACCTGACAGCATAAGTGGTCACCATACGTGCAATATGGTGAACATCGGCCCTTCTGGGTGAAGGGGGTCACAACAAACTTTTACCTCTCTAGGTGAATGGGTCATTGACGGGAGGGGGGAGGCATTTTTCTGGTACCATTAAAGTTTCTATACAATATTTCTCAAATTAATCAACTGAGATATAAAAGATTTGTTCAGGAAGATAAAAACGATTTTAGCCTATTTGCAGGTCCTTTGCCGAATACAGGAACAGAAGATTGCGAATGATGATGATAAATATACAGATTAAGTACTACTTGCATTATACCAATATAATTATGAGAACAAATTGTGCATAGTTAAGCTGTTTCTACAGGAGAATTGTGCTAAAAGAATGATTATGACTTTTAAGTCTTCTTTCTTGAATTGGAATCATGCTATTGTAGCTGCCGTCAGTCAGTATAGACTGGAAAGAGGAGAATCTCCTCTTTCAGATGATATTCAAAACATAGTACTTCAATTCAGTCAAAAAATACCTAGAATGTAAGCTAGCACTCGCCACTTAACTGCGTTGTTCATCAAAATCTCTCCTATACGCAGCCAGTAAGAAGCAGATTGATTCGCGAGGGTAATACCAACAATAAGTCAACCTCTCTCAATAAGGTAGCAATGCTTC